AAATTCAAAAAGACACAGACTGTGTGTCTCCTGGAATTAAATCAAAGAGAGTTAAGAATTGGAACAATGTCCAGCTTCGTAAAATACACCTTGATGACGCCAAAATAATTAGGACATTTTGCTATTGAAAGTATACATTCCCTATATTTGCAAAGCTTTACCTTATGCATGAGAGAGAACTATTTATTAGATAGATACAATAAATGTCTTCCTTTTCCTCACATTTACGGAAGTCTCCCTCTCTACTGAAGCAATCATATTTCCAAAGTACTTCAGATGACCCCTCAGAGACAAGAAAATGTGAACATCAGAAGAATAAGAACTGGAATTTGTCATCTGTAGTCAAGTTATCCACATTCACACAAGAAACAGCACAGTTCACTAATGAGCATGAAAGTGAAAGAGCAAGCTACTCTCCCAAGTTGGCACAGCATTCTGCTCTCTTTCAAAAACACCAGAATATCCCCATTTTCCATTAAAAAAAAAGGCTTGCCACAAATAGGTTCCAGTCAACCTCTGTTCATGTCTACGGAATAAAACATGTTTTATCACCAGAATCCCAAACTCAAGGTTTTCTTTGTTAAGTCTAACAGGAATCATTTGCATTTAGGACAGTGTGAAACTCATTCAGATCTCAGCTTACCCTGTATTATCTACAGTTAGTGGGCCTTTGAAATCAGGAGATGCTTTGAGGATACATTAATAATGTTGAAAGTCTTTGGAAAATTATTCAATACTAAGAAAATGAAACACATTAAAGCAGTTATATTCTCCCTAAAATGTCTTACATTTAAGTGGTAGGGAGAGAAATCAAGACATGACATCATGGGGAAGATCGCTTAAAATACAGACTCATCCATTTTCCAGCCTTGGAACTGGGGAAGTGGAGTTAGCCTCACCTTTGATTTCCAAGTGAGAAGAAGCATCCTCACACTGTATCATAGCCAAACTGTTTGTTCGCCTTTTACTCGTGCCAGCTCCACAACCCTCTGCATCACCTGTATTCAACTGGTAAGTTCACTTCTAGACAATTCAGGTAACCTAAAATACATTTTTACACACACATTGAATTCTACACTCTACATGAGGTTATGCACTTTCTAAACTTTCTAACTTTCTAAATGTCTGTTTACAAGGTTTGTCCATAATTGCACCAAGCCTGAACTGCTTGGCATATTCAGTTATACCTAAAGGCACTACTTGTTCCCTGGCTAGGATGACAGCAGGTGAGGAATCTTCTGTAGTAAATTATCAGCCACGAGGGAATTGTTGCCACAGCGAAAAGCTCAGAAGGAAGGTCAGATCTTGTGCGGGCAAATTTCCTCTCCCACCTTCATTCTTTCAGAGAACTGATGTTGTCCAGTTGCTGTATGTGCTACAGAGGCTTTAAAAGAAACACAATGGCCAAGCTTTCTGCACTTCATAGACCATACACTTCACACAAAGTTTTACCACAAGCTGTCATTGTATGGCTGCATTTCTGAGTGTGTGCCATTGTGTGCCATACTGTGCCCTGAGGTCTTCAGTGTTTCTTCATCAAACCAAGCAGCTGTCGAAATGTGCCTCAGCTCCATCCAGCACACATTCCCCAGCTTTCTCGTCCAAGGAAAAGGAGGGGAGAAAGGACAGCAAGTACCGAGGTCTTGCTCCAGTGAGGAGCTGGGATGTGGCCATGGACAGGTTCCCAGGTTCCTAGTGTAGATGTAGACTATTATACCAATGAATTCTTCAGAAAATATCACACAAAGCTAAGTTATTTATGAGTTGACTTCAGCACATGTTTGCACCAGTGTAAAACTGGAGCAACCGTACTACCTTTGGCAGAGTGTTTCTAAATCTAAGCCAATACAAGTTAAAGCAGAATCTGTCCCTTTAGTTTGGATTATAAGCAAGAAATGCTGCCCTAAAAATACAGACACAAAGAATTTTGCCTGAACACAAAAAGAAATGTTCACAGTTCTGTCTCAGTGGATCTGTCAAAACCCAAGCAATTTTTGAGATCATTACTTAAATTGGATGAGGTTCATATTCCCCCAGCTGCATAATGTGACTTGTCTCTGCTCAGTCCAGAATAGATTTTTTTCTTTTCCTTTTTTTCCCCTTAAACACACATAAAAACCCCACAAACACCTCCCCATGTTTTATTTCCATAAGTGATAGTTATTTTAAAAGGTAGTCCAAACCCTATAAACCCAATGAAAGGCAACATTGGAATGCCCACCAGTGCTGTCCACAGTAAAGCAAACGCATCCAGAGCTTTTATCACTTCAAATAAATTTCTGTTCTGCAAGGAGAGAATCTCCTCTCTTCTGTAGTTCCAGACTTACAGATCACTAGGTAGGTAAAGCAAACTTCTGATTTTTTGATCATCTGCAGCTCTTTGGAAAGAAGTTTCCCACAAGGCTCATGATGCTCTAAGTCACTTTTGTTTCTGTTCTGCAGCCTCACTCTCTCCAAGTTAAAACTCACAAAACAAAACAGCACTGCTGAGCTCAGCAGTGTGTCGGAGGAGGAATCTGTGGCACCCTCAGGCCTGATTGTATAAAAACGTGTAATGCTACCAAGAAAGGGGAGTGCGAAAACATTCCCATGACTGCTTGGTAGGGCTTCCTGCCTATGAGGCATGTGTGAAGAGAGCTTCACACCTGTGAATATCGTAGAGTCCAACCCTCATCTTTTCTCTGAGATCTTAAAAAATGTTCCAGATGGGGTCCCAACTATAAACATTTTTGCATTTAGAAAGCAATAAGAAGAGAACACATGGGATAGAAAACACTTGGTTAAATTTGAAGCTTTTTTCTACATCATAAAAAATGAGGATGCATCTTTTCCTTCCTTCTCCTGTCAGCCACCTTCTGTTCCCTTGTCCCTGTTGCACTACCATCTAAACAATCCTGTCTTAAATCTTTTAAGTACCTGGATTAATGTATAGCATCTAGAATACTTTAGGACACAAAATGTCACATGGCAAACTCTTGTAGGGGAAGAGTAAAATTAGCTCCCTCTTCTGTCAGAGTCACCCCAAAAACAGTGAGGATCCCAACCACGAAAATTCCTGATATGTCTGATGGCACAGGGAACTGCAAAATTCTTCCATCTCACTCAGTGAGGTTCTACAGAGCAAGTTGAAATCTACTTGCCTAGATTGGATTTGGGTGCATGTAATGACAAAAATGTAGAAAGAGTTTGTTCCCTGGGCATCATAAAAGATTTGCAGGAAAAGAGAGTATAAAAGATCAGACCAAGTCTGGACTGCAATTTAATCATCTGGATGCGATTCAAGCCAATCTCCAGTTGTTTGGATTTTTTGTTTACTGTTGCAAATCAGAGGAGGCATTTCACCAGAGAATCTGTTGGTTTGCTGTATTTCAAAATGTTATTTCAGCTGGACAAACTATGAGAAGTTTTGCAGCTGCAAACATGTATAGTGCTAAAGTTTTTCATGACAAAGTAGTATTGTATCCTTAAGACATTATATTGCTATGGTATAATATTTTATTCAGATCATTGGAGTAATAAAAAATTAGTTTTCTCTTGCCTGAATTTCTGTTGAAACAAACAGTTCATTTCTCTACTTCTAAATGAAGAGAAATAAGGTATTTTTTCCAGTGTTTGGCACCAGTAAGGTATTTTTAGAGTGTTTTCAGTTATGGACCCATCTGCATCCTATTCCACCATTACTACACAAAGGAAAGAGAAGCAGGACTGCAAGATAACAGAGGGACAAAGACATTACTCCTAATATTCCCCCTTCTTTTAACATGAAAACAGATTTCTAAATATTATCACTTACCATCTCATTTGAGAGGTTGCACTTCACCAGTGATGAATTTGCTCTATCGAAATTATAATATGGGCACATGGCTAAACTCATGTTTGCGAGCTGGCATCACCTAAATTACAGTTTTATGACACGGTATTAGAAAAAGAAGGTTATGAACAGTGAAACCTGATTTTAACTGTGAATGTAGTATTCAATATGGAAGGGATATTTAGTCATTGAGGGAAATGTTTTCAAAAGCCATACTGTCCAGCAGAACAAATACATTCCTATCTTTCAGACTATCTTCTCATGGGCCTTAATAATAGCACTTTTCAAAGTTTTTTGTAATGAAATAAGCATTAACCCACATGCATAGATTGCATACAGGCCTCAGTCCTTATATCCCACTCTGCTTCTCGCTGATCTCATGTTGCAACCTTCTTGCTTTCCAAGTACTAAACTTCTCCAGAACAGATTTGATTGTAATTCTATTAAACCCTTCATAATGCAATGCTTCAACTATGGCTTGTATCTTCAGCCCACTGCACACATGCAGAACTGAGGCCCCAAAAGGCTGACTAAGGTGCCTAAGCTTCTACAGTAACTTAACGTGAGAACAGCAAAATGAGGCTTATTTTCCTTCCAGTTCTACACTTAGGCCACAGTTTCTACAATAACATAAACAGAACCTATACAGAGCTTAGACAAAGTCTGCTGTGTTTGCCTGGCAATTCTCTTTTAAAGGGACAGAGATTATTTGTACTCTATGGTACAGTTTGAGATCACCTTAAAAAGGCTCAAACTAGGTGCTTAATTAGGTGACATTTTTGAAAACTTTCCCTACAACTGTCCTCATTTTCAATTTGAAAGTAAATACCAGCTTCTCTGGGTGCCTGGTGAGACCAAGATGCTGCAGTCCCTGATGTCAGTTGGTGAGCCCCCTCTCCTCCCTGTCCCACCAGAGCATTTCTCTATTCGTCAGTGAGAGAACAAGTGAGAGCTGTGCCCTGCATATCACACACCAGTAGAGGAATAACTCTTTCTTCTAGGAAAATATGAACTTCATTTGCTCATGCAGAGTAAGCCAAAGACATTAATATTGATACTGATGGTTATGGGATCTGGGTGAAAATGTGCTTAGTTCAGAAATTAAGATATGAAGTGCTACCTGGATGTTGAGCGTTAATTTAATATAAGGGAGAAATATAGTTTGGGATCTAACAGGCATTTATCTTACCCTTCCACCAGTAACTCCTTCAGCTCTTCACACAGGTGGATCTTCTGTCTTCTTGAAACAGTAATCACATGGGCGAATTTTCTAGTAGCTTTTCAAAGGATTGTAAAACTATTCTGCAAAGCAATATGGGGAAAAATGTATAAATGGTCTTTAATGCAGCATAACCTTTAACACCTACCATAAAAACAAATATATTCCAGTGAAAACCAACAATTTTACAGTCAGATATAAGCATTGATTCACTCAGCTGGCTGGTGGTGGATCACCCACAAAAGAGTTTGGAGGGTCTCTGTATAAGAACTGGGAAGTTAGGATTAGAAATGTGTCTGAGTTAAGAGGGAGTTTTAAGCAATTAACTCTGCAAACACACAAAAGTGAAGCACAAAGAAACACTAATGGGAAGAGATCATTAATGCAATCCATCCACATTCTCCATCTATGCCCTCATTACCTGCTGACAACACCAATAGGATTTGCCTATATGAGGAAATGGGCCAAAATAGCTACTGCAGAATAAGCCATTATTCAACAGCTTTCTGTTTGTCCCTGTGTAGACACTGTAGGAATAATTAGTGCATTTTTTCTGTTCTAGAATAATCACTGCACTAATTATTCCAGACTAAAGTATCTTTTATTCCAAAACAACTTGTCCACAAGGGGAACTATTGTGAAATAGCTTGTGCTCCTCTGCTCAATTTCCATGTGTAAAAAGGACATAATCCATGCTGTTGGAATAGCTGCTCCCAGACTTCAGGAACAAATCAAACTATAGAGAAGTTCCAATTCTCACATCATTCAGCATGTTTTTTTAAAGTAAGTGAACACATAGATTTGTTGTGAAAACAGGATTCAGCTGTATGCAATGATTAAGCTCTTCTTTTAAGAGCTTTTTCTTTATAAAATTATTTTAGTCACATATGCATCCAAGCTTATTACTGAATTTAAGGATTGTAGTGTGCAGAGGATGACATGGTAGATGAGACTTTGCCCACTCTTTTTCAAAGTGTGAAATGCTGAAATTGGATAAGCACACAGTGTAATTAGCTAATTTGATGGGGTAGCTTTATCCAGTCCGTGTGTTTAGAAACACCACTGATCTCTCAGGTTTTTGCAATGCAATGTAATTAAATTAAGGGCCAATATGCCTAGACAGTGACCCCACAACACTGTTAAAACCATTTTAAAATAAAGGATGGAAATGGTGGTGTCAGATCTTCCTGAATTGGAAAGAGTTGCAGTTCTCTAGTCTGCCTACTGCCCTCCTTTCAGCAGCCCAGCATATCAACTTTGCAGAGCTAGTTACAGAGGCAGACTCAAACCTCTGTTTCTGTCAGTTTCTGTTTCTTTTGTTTTGTTGGGGTTTGTTATTAATTTTTTTGTTTGGTTGTTTTTGTTGTTTGGTTTGTGTTTTAAAATCTTTCCATTTTATCAGGGGAAGTATGACCATATCTGAAAAACCAGTCCCCTCCTTTCTGCTCAGAAAATGGCAGAATAGCAGTGGAACAAGGGGATAAAACCCTTTTTTCTCTCACTGCACACATGATTTTGCCCAATATTTGAGAACTATAGTACTCAGCAAGGCTGTAATATCTTACTTTGTGAAATTGGATACAAGATATTTATGTACAATAAATAATACTCTTTTCCACTTCCACGTTTCACACGAGTGGCACTGTCCATCCATTCAACCTCTGTCTTTGTCTCACTAGAGAGAAATCAAAATCAATTTGGAGTATATTTCAAAATAAGCGGCATCATTGTTTAGCAAGTATTTTCAATAAGATTTGCAATGGTCATAGGATATGATTTGCTATGGTTTTACCAATCTCTCCTGTGTCTGGCTAGGATCTAGGAAGTTGCCTAACATTCCTCAAAATACGTAATTGCCTTGAAGCATCCAGCTTCTGCTTACACTATTATTTTGCTATCAATTCCTCAACCTTTGATCTTGAAGTTTATTTAACCCAAGATATATTGTTAACCAGTAACTGCTCCAAATTCACTACTAAATTTTTTCTGTAATATTTTAAAAATAGAATAAAGTACATTGATTTTTATTATATCTTAAATACAGAAATCTGTATAGAAAAAATTGTCATGAAACAGCTCATTACCAGAAAAAGAAATTGAAGTTCAATACATCTGTGGCTCAAAAAAAGCTCTACTGATGGATTTATTTTCACTTTACCAATCTAATGGAATAAATTTGATTTGTGATGAATAACATTTGTCTATTTAGGGCTCATAAGACAGCTTTTTGTGATTCCTGTAATAAGTTTTTTCCTCAATTAAAGTTTCTGTTCATTTACGAGATGTATGCAATTAGAAATACAAAATGTTCGGTATTCTCAGCTCAAACTCTTTTGTTATCTTGTGCTTCTCATGTGCTACTGTAGCTGTTCTACCTCGAACTGAACTAGATTATGATTACTAGTTAAGAACTGAAAACAGTGCCATTCTTACTTCCTTCTGTAAGTTACTCTATAAATAAATACTTTCAATTACAAAATTGTTCCCAGAGAAATGGGAATTATGTTGAAAGTACCCCACTGTTGCTGTAACAGTTTCAGATTTAATGAATCCTTCTCCCTGTATTACAATAGCTCCTGCTGGTTTACCTGGACTGCAGAAATGCCAGGTTCCAGCTTTGTATTTTGTAATGTTTCAAACCCTCTGGGAGAAAAAAAACCAAAGAACCCAACATTCTTCTATCTTCAAGTTTTTTATCAGAATCAGAATGGAAATACTAAGAAATTTTAAAATATCCCTTCCTCATTTCCAGCAGGTTGGGTAAGAGCCATGCAGCTACATTTCAGTTTTACAATTTTCTCAGATTTTAAAGGCAAGGGTCTAACTTTCTTTTATTTGTATTTATTAAGGCCAACTCAAACATAATGGCACAGAGAATACAGCTGAGTGAGGCAGAGAGAAAAAACATGTTTAGCATTAAAACATCGCTGAACTTGGAGACAGTCATCCTTCCCCATCTGCAGCTATCCTACAGCTAGTGCTGTGCTTTTAAAGTCATTCTTATGAGGAAGTTTCATATCACATTTCTTGGTCTGATTGTCATAATCATCCAAGTGTGAATACAGGCTCTGGATATGGGCTTCATCACTGTATGAAGGCATGCTGAAAATTCACATGTTTGGGTAATATCAACATCCTATTGCTTAAGTACTGCATCATTCTCATTTCTTTTTCAACACAACATAAATTTCAAAATGAAAGCTATATGATGATACTTTCTTCCTCATACCTATACTGACCTTAGTACTCAAACTTTGCCTCAGTGTTTTAAATTACTTCTTTAATTTAGTTCACAGAAACTGCAAGTTATAGCTGGTTTACGGACTATTGCATCCCAAAGAGCAAAGACAAAAATACAAAGTACACTACTTTGTATTACAAAGGTTCCAGAGGGAAGAGAAGCATCGACTTGGTTTTGCACTATAAATAACTCTACTGGACACTTCTGGTGCATCAAAAGGAAGCCACAGCATTATTTACTTTTTCTATTTAATTGTTGTTGTCATTGTTGTTAAACTCTCCATGTATGTATGCATGGAAAAGAGAGAAAATCTGCTCCTACCTGCTACTGCTTACCCGTTTGAGTACCCAGTAATCTAAAGCCAAATATTACACACCTATTTTAATTGTATCACTGAGGTCAAAGGGATTATTTACTTGTCTAAACTGATCCTAAATAATTAGTAAGAGAGCTAAATGATATTGAGAGATTGTTCCAAAGCAATATAAACAAAACCAGATCAATTGTCTCGCCAGTTGCTCACATGGAGATTCCAGAAAAGCTATCCATAATACATCAAATTCTTTCTTTTTTATTTTCATTTTTTGACAAACTATTCTTTCATGAACACAAGGGCAGGAAAAATCAAGTGCCAGATGGTGAACTAGGGTATCGGCTATCAGATCCAACAGCACACTGAAAGCAGCCAACATTCTCAAGGAAAGACATTTAATGGTATCTGAAAGAAAAAGCACCCAATTTCTGGGAAAAGGGAAAATAGAATTAATGAAATGGACAACTGAAAAAGATATCCACAAAGAGAATCACTGTGTAAGCCGAGATCAGGAGAAAGTGAAATAGATCCAGGAGAGCTTCTTTAGGCAGTGACTTTTGTTATAAATTACATACACAGAGCAAGTCCTGCAAATAACCAACTTTTCATGCCAGGACAACATGGACTCTGTATAGAAATTTATGCTGAATTTGTCAGAGGTAGATGACATCTTTGGCTTTCCTGACATTCTTGTCCCTGTTCTTCACTGGTTTTCCCTTCACTCCCAAAAGTATTACAGAATGCTTTCTCTGTTCTATCCCTTGCCGCCTTTGCAGATGCATTCACATCACTGAAATTAGCCCTCCATGAGATCCTGGCAGTTTAGAACAGCCTCAAGCAGGGAAAGAGATAAACACATATTTGTATAACTATGAAATGCCTCAGTTGAAGGTAAGCAAAGAAATTAGACTTGGATAGTTCATAAGGGGAATGCAGATCATAAAATCCACAGACTCCCTGAGATAAAAATAATGACCAAGCATTCCAAGCCTGTAACACTGAAGATCATACAAAATGAGCTTGGCAAAGCACAATACACAAAACAGTCATTTACAAACATCATACCACGCTCAGATTAGGGAATCATTCCCTATAACCTCACTGATTTGGAGATTTGTTTTATGATGGCCTATACAGTGAATTTCCAAATGCACTTTCAAAACAGACCCTAATGTAATCTCTATTTACAAGCTGGACTCCTTTTCTTTGTGAGTTTCTTACCAAAACCCAGCTCCCTGTCTGAGATTTAAAAGAGCTTTAATTTTCACTATTGCAATGAGGGGCTTTTTAATTTTTTTTTCACACCACTCAAGTGTAAGTAACATCTTCAAACACAGTAACTCAAGCAACTGCAATAGCCTGACTCCTGGCATCCACTAGTTTAACCAAGACAAACATTTGGCCTTTAGAAAATCAGGTAGTTCAAGTCATCCTCTCATAATGTATTTTGAAACATTTGTTGAACATAGCAGATGCAACATGAAAATACATCTGGACTGTGATAATAAGTTTGAGAAAGATACAAGCTTCATACAGGAATCTCAGTTCTGTCTCCCAAACATCAGAGAAAAATGTCCTCTGAGGTCAGTTTATTCTCTAATTATTGATGATAGGGTTATTTTCCTTTCCTCTGAAACAGATGCTTCTGGTTCCTCCCAGTCACTGGACTAAGTGGACCACATGTGAAACAAAAAGGAAATAACATGGATACTTATGCATTTCCATTTTCATTTACAGACCTAGCAAGACAATGACCTTGTAAAATTATGTTCTTCCAATATCTAATAGTTTTTTCACTATTCTTTGCACGCTCCAAATTGAAGACCAGCTGACATCCAGATGTCCCACAGCTTTAATATCATCAAAGAACAGGAAGGGAACAGTATCCATTGTTATGTCCTTCTACTGTGGTACACAAATGCAGGACAGAGGAGGAGACGGAAAAGCAGGACCTTAGCTGAAATTCACCCCATGTTTTGGCTACCAAAACTGGCTGACTACACTGACAGAAAGATTTCTCTTCCCCTGAAGGGGAGCAGCAAAGTGACAACTACTTTGGGCTGCCAGGACACCTAGTAGGGCTTCTGCATTTTGAGACATGATTCCTTGAGGCAATATGACTGAAGGGATCGGCTCCCTCCAGTGCAGGGTTCCGCTTAAATGCAACACTGAGCCCTGGAAAAAGATATTAACACATTCCTCATTTGAGCTGCCAAACGTACCAGGAATACCTGGCTGCAGCTCCCTTCCATGCTGCCAACCATTCTAGGTACACAGCTGGCTATTTCAGTGATTTCAGAAGAACTCAGAGGATTTGCTGCACAGCAGCAACAGCAGCAGAGGAAAAAACCTCAGCATTTGATTTCTTTGCACAAATGTCTACCCCACACGACTTAAAACCACCCTAGAACAGACCTCCAGAATTAAGTAAATATCCTGCATGGCCCAAGCACAGATTCAGCTCCCTCTCTATAAATCAGACAATTAAACAGCCAACACCAAGCAATTGCCTCTCCCATTCTCAGAATGTTTTACGTTCACGACACAAGCAATCCTGCAAAGTCTTGATAGGTATATTCATTATTTATGGTCTGCCATAATTATATTTGGTACTTCTAGCTTAGTCTGTAGGAGGCAGTGTCATGTGTGGAAAGCAGAACTGATCAATGCTAATGAACTTTCACAGAGATTTTGAAAAAATATGATTTCTCTTAAAAACAAGAAATGCAAAATGGCAAGAAGTTTAGTAAGAACGTCTGGACAAGGGTAAAACGGGGAAGGTTGCCATCGGTTTTGAAACATGAGGGTTTACCCTCACATTTTTTCCCTTCAAATAAAAACTGCAGCCTGCCTGTTAGCTTCTACTTTTATAGTGTGCATGTTCTCAGTTGTTTGCACAAATTTGCACAGACTGCACTGGAATTTCTTAGTAGCAAGATATTTAAGTAGAAGCTAGTGCTCACCTTCAGTGCTCACCTTCAGGCTGGAGCTAGCTATCCGTCACTGACAGCATCTAAACAGTCTGGTTTTGAATGTTAAAAGCAAAATAAGGTGATAAATCTGGATGGAGCTCTCTCTCTGCATTTTTCCTAACACCATTTCAGTGAGTAAGAATCAAGAAGGTGGCTGGCATTCACACAAACAGTACTGTTCCTATTGATATAAATATAGGCCCAGTAACATCTCTGGGATTATAAAAGGCTAACAAATGTTAAGGCCATCAGGGGAAGAAGGCTTCAGAGACCATGGTGCCCTATGGTTGTCGCAGAAACAGTTCAAATCAAGAAACTGGTAAGACTCATAAGGTTTCAAATACAAACACAGCGTTGAATTGAACCAGTGAAGAGAGAGATGATAAAAGAGACACTCAGCAAAGGCTCTTCACAGAATGCCAGACAAAGTTTCAGCTTTTTTTTTTTTTTTTTAATAAAGTCTGTTAATTTGAGTTTATCAACATAATGAAGGTTTGGGCTGGAAAGATACTCAGAACTTAAAAGCTAAAACTGGACTGTCTATATTTCATTCTCTTTTTATTAATCATCAGCGAGTGCTCTGCACAGACACAGCCCATGAAAGTAATAACAGAGGGAAATTAATTAGATGACTATATTTCAATCATGGGGTTTTCTTGACATTTTATACCAAAGGAATGCAGCTCAAGCAGTTTGTAACTGACAGCAATGCCATGAAATTGCACTACAGCCTTGATAATTATCCTCTTCATTATTTTTATAATATATAAAGAGATAACGTACAACATTCCCCTTTCATTTTATAATAGTATGCAGTATAATGGAAGCAGCTAAAGGGGGATGTTTGTCTTACAATGCTACAGTTTAAATCTAGTGACAAGAGTTATCACATTAATGATGCACAGAGAAGAGCACTACAAGCAGCCATCCTTTATGTAATTATTCCATGCAAACTGTAAACATATGGGATAAATAATATACCCAAAACTTTTTTTCTTCCTCTTTACTTAATATTCAAGAAATGTCAATGACAACTCAATAGAAGGAAAAATATATGAATCTCATTTACATAAATTTCCTTCTTTGTTAAAAGCTAGTGTCATCAAAGCTTATAAAAAGATTGATGCCACAAAAAGGTTGGTCATTTTTTTATACAACAGTACCAAGCACTTGTGCACTACACAGGCCCCAAAAATTACCTGAAGAAGGAAGAGTCCTTTTAGATCCAGATGGCGACGCTAAAGGAGTAAAGGTCTTACCAAATATTATGGATAACTTTAATTAGTAAGAGCAGTAGTAAAGCAGTAACAATTCCATAAACTGGTAAACTATTTTAGATGATATTCAGAAAATGTAGTTGGGGAAGTCTCAGCTGGAACATATCAAATATGTACAAGGAGAGGAGAAGTTACCATTTGCCTGTCTGCCACAGCATCAGCTCAACCTGATATAAGAACAACAGAAGTCAGCTCCAGATGGCTACAAAAGAAGTCAGTCTGTTATCTTAGAGAGGTAGAGCTGGAAATCAGGATAACTTCTGGAACTGCAATGAGTTTTGGGTAAATCTGCAACTTCAGTCATTCACCCAGCAGTTCCTGTGTCACACAGCCCAGCTGAGCCTGCAGTTTCCTGGAAGCATGGACAGAAGTCTATGGCCAAGGGCAATGCCTGCTCTGCCCTGCTTGCATCTACTGCACAGGAATACAGAACGTGGGGTAGGCAAGAAGGTCCTGCTAAACATATATTATCTAACCCGAGTCTAACCCGAGCAACACACTTCTAGTGTGTTCTCTGCATATAACCCACAGCCATGACAAATCTGATGCTTCCTCACTACAAAAGATTCACACTATATGTGATGCAGGGCCCATCCACAAGTGTGTGATGAGCACAGAATTGTGAGATCTCTTGTGCACACAGCAATCGGCTCCAAGCTAACAGCACATCTCTGAGGCACAATGAACCACTGCAATCTTGCCGGGTGACACAGTGGAAGATAGCCTTTAAACCTGCCTCAAGTCAACCTTATCATTAGGGGAAAGCACTTTTCTGTTCTAAAACACACTATGGCTCTTCAAGAATGTTCTATTCAGTCATTTATTTTCAGTATTTTTCAATGGATCAGACCAGATGATGGTATTTTATGGCATACAAAGAATAAGGCAATACTAGCTTTTGATCCTGAAGAACAAAAGGCCAGCATTAACCTATGTGCAAAGACAAGAGAGCTGACAAAATAGGGGGGGCGGGAGTGGGGGAGAGAGAGAGAATCCGGCAGGTCTTTGAAGTAATCCAAGGTCAAAAGTTTCCCCTTAAGAATATATGAGCAATGTGAACTTACCGTACCCAGGAAGCCACCTCACAAGGTAAACACTTTCAGAAGACAAGTCCTTGAAACTCTTCATAGTGTCAAAGGTTGAAGTGAGCAAAGTGGCAGCTGGTTTAAGGCATTTCTCCTTTGAAATGTCCAAACTTCCTTCATTTTCAAAGACAAAAGTCCCCTTGGTATATACAAAAAAAGCCTGCACCCTTGAAATAAATAAAGGGGTTCAAGTTAAGCCTCAAGAAAGGAATAAACAACAAACCCCCCTCCACCCCTCCCACCAAAAAAAATAAAAAGCCTCAATGATCAGATACTTCTGAAAAATTAATGTGACTTGTGTATCCAAAAATGTGAGCTATCAAAATTGCCCATTAGAAAAAAGTCAGAGAGTGCTTCAGAAATAACTGAAGGATTGAAGACCTTTCCACCCATCAGGTGTTCATTATTCACCTCAGTTGAATTCTCTGAGCAGCTTCCATGAACTTACCAATGCTCAGACTGCTCGCATCACTCTCCAAGCAGTTTATGCTTAGTGGATAAGTTTACACTGAAGCTTACAGTGTGCGTTCACACTAATCCTTTCAACAATTTAGCAAAGAGTTAACAATGGTTACCTGAACATAACTAAGGCATCCTCCCATTTCAAACTGTAGAATTTTATACCTTTATCTATAAACTTAACAAAATTCAGACTTATGGGAACAATAGTACAATACTTCCAAACAGCTGTCACTCTAAATATGCATAAACTGATTTCCTTTGCTCAAGCCAAAGTTATAATTTTCACTTTTTTTCATCTCTAATTCAATAGGAGATTAAGCATACGAAAAGTTTAAAGCACACGTATAAGACCATCAGATTAGGCCTAATCACACAGGTAATATAATTTCCCACTGACTTAAGTACTTAAAATAGTATATACAATTAGAAAAGAAACAAAGACAGGAAGTTACTTAAAATGAAAGCTTGAAGGGACATAAAGCATGCAGCAGATACATTATCGCATTTCTTCGTATGGAGGCACTGCTGCAACGGTGTTGTTTCTTCAAAGAGGTAGCCCCTCAACAACATAAAAATATACAGACTTTCAAACACAGTGAAATATTTTCTAATATGAACATCCTAAAAAGGGGAAATCAATAAATGGCATGAAAAACTTCAAAGACGGACCTCCTGTCAATGACAGAGGTTCTTCAGCGATGTAAAGTCTTTGAAGAAGGACTCCCAGTGCTGGGAAACCTTTGAAGTGACAGAAAGCAGACATTTATAATTACAGAAAGGTGCGGTGTCCAGCAGAGATAGTAAAAAGATATAACTGGGGTATGTGTGGGGGAGGTTGAGTGGTGGCTTGGGCCCTGAGTGACCCTGTTCACTTGAAGCCTAATAGCCTGCAAGGTCAACTCTATATCCATATGAAAGAGACAATTTGTGAATTGGAAATGTGGGAAGGGCTTAGAAACCAAATTACTGCAGCTTTCACACTTTTGGCATATGTTTATTAAACAAGGCATCTCTCTCTTTTCTCACTACCTCAGATTCCAGCACACACACAACCATACAGCCCATTCTCACTTTGCAGCCTACAGTTCCCCTGAGGAGAGAGAGAGAGGCTTGTTATGTCCATTGCCTCAGAAGCTGGTTTGAAGTGAGGCAGTCCAGCTTTGCTTATATTTATCAGTATGTTTTTCATGAGTATCATTTCTTCCTGAAATTTTTGCTTTTGTCTTCTCCCCTGCTTCCTGGCTATTTGTTGATAAAAGGATACAGAAATCTAGAGAAGTGAAAAATTATATTCTGGAAGAAAACTGAACGGTCTGGATTCTCGAGTTCTCTGAATTGTTGTCTACTTGAAAGGAAAAATACAAAAGTTGAATTTAGATGAATAGATTTTTGGTTTCCCCTCAGACTACAAGGCAAATCTCTGCTTCTTTTTGGAGCAGAGCAGGGTTTGCCCATACTCTGAGTAGTCTGAATGGTAGCACACACTAGTGTGTTCAGCTGAGAGACAGAGCAAACAGCTCACACTTGCCCCTACCTTTCATGTATGTACAGATTCTTCTTGTCCTAAAGCACAGGGACAGTCTCTTGCTTATGCCCCAAAGACCACATAGCTACATCCCAAATATTAATTTTTAAGTTTTTCCCTGTCTATGACATGCTAAAATGATAATCAGCATCTGATGCCAGCCAAGATTTTCTGGGAAGCTGACATGAAAGAAAAGACAAACAAGCTAATCAGCAGATGCTGCCACCTTGTTTGAGCTCAGTTGTTCTTTCTTGTATAGCTGGATGAGGGTTTGAATGCAGGACTGCCCACAGTGGGCTGAAATGGGTCCTCCAGTCAAGAGGTCTGTATTCTTCTGCCCTAGTGTGAGGAAGACACCAGAGCATCCTGTTCCACAGTGACTTAGAGCTCCACCTGTGAGCCTCAAATACATACAGTCCCTTGGCAGGAAGAAAGTGAACTACCAAAAAGCAAATATCGGCTCCTTTTTTCTTGTGCTTCACGAAAAGCACAGTCTTGCCCAGCTAAGTGCTTCCAAGCAAAGGCTGGTAGAAGATGGTACCCTTTAAACCCTGAAAGAAACACATGAACAATGATGCTTGATAACTTTTACACACATACAGCATCCACAGATCCCAAATCAGTGAGTAACCTCGTTTATGAATGGGAGAACTGAGGTCCTAGACAGAAATTCAGGCTGGCTCTGTAGAAAATGAAGTCTTAGCACAAACATTTATTACTTAGCACAACATTTATTACTTCAGGAAATTCGGAGTAGACAGCATTGAGTCTATTTTTGTCTTCATACAACCTTCAGTCCTAGGTTAAGGTCAGAACTAGAGAAAATAATACCTAAGTCCAATGCAGTCTTCAGAGAATTGCTGAAGCTTATTTTGTTGAACTCTTCTTTTGCTGGCCAGACACCAACCATGTAATTAGGATAACTATGCAATAGTGTTTTAAAGGGAGTGCTATAGAGAAAAACTCAAACTACAGTAGACATAAAAGCACTGTATTTGTTTTCTCATGCATCAACAATTTAGTTTTTCTTCTGTTCAGGAGGCTGGCCTGAAGGGAATGGAAATCACAGAGATTATTACCTTTTTACAACCATCTTTCTAAAACTCATGGCATCGGCTACATGAGGTGTGTAGTAAAAAGGAAAAAAATATCCTGAATACTAATGAAGAGACCGTATGGAAACTCAGAAGCAATTATCATGCAGACAAAATTTTTAAGAGTAGTGATGAAATTAAGCATTATTGCCAGAAGATGTTTACTAAAAGTATCTTTCAGGTCTTTCAAAATATTGCTTGGAGGATTTGGCATGACAAAGAAAGCAGATGTCAGATAACACATAACACATCAAGAAAACTATAATATATTCTGAGCTTAAGAGTCCTGCTGGTGATATGGGACAAAAATATGTCTGGGCAATCTGAAATAGCTTTTAAATAAAACAAAACCAAAACAAATTCAGATGTTTTGAAGTGCCTACATAACATGTAAATTTTGTGCTACAAAAAGTTAGGCAACAGACAGGATAAACTCAGCAAAAACTGATATTACCCAAATGCAACAGATACACGGATATTGTTTTCTGATGTGTAGTATTCACTATTTGTGTAATAGTCATTTTAAGATTCAGACCACCTGAAGCATGGTACACAATGTTGGTTATACTACACCTGTTAAATGCCAACATATTCATAAAATAAGCACCCTAAATCCTTACAAAGAAGAGGGTGCAAATGTAAAGAGTTCTTTAAACTGAGAAGTAAGGATACCTTCCTCATGGCTGCTGCATGATGATTCTTTTGCATGCTTAGCACGATCACATTCAGTGTGTTCTGGCACATGAAACAACATGCAGGAAAGACCTGCACCTATAAGGATGCCCATCTTTTCTCCTATTCGTCCCTGCTACTGGGCTCCCTCAGGAGTCACATACAAATTGTTCCTCACTCTCACACCCTGGATTCTAGGTTATTTCAATAGTCAGTTTAATCAGACTACAGACTACTGAGAGAAGCAGCTTTCCCCCTGGCTAACCAGGACATGGTGCCTGCTGATGATTTGAATTGCAGCAGCACTGCACATTGGACAACAACACAATACCAGAGGTCATTGTACCATCACAGCCATTTGGGTAACATCTTATTTGCAAATAAGACCAGAGGAAAACAAAATTATGTTTAGTGCACTAATTACACACAGGGACATCTTTTATGTTACAGCAATAAAAGGATCGAAGTGACCATCCATAGTGGAGCCAGTCGTGAGGCCCCGAAAATGGAACCAAAACATCCTGAATTTAATAACATAAAACAAACCACGAGCAGAGAGCACTATGATTCAGAAGAGGGAGGTTGGTACTGGTACCAGCACCAGTATTTCTGGTAATTGGAAAGACATAAAGGCTCATTTGAGGTGCAGACAACTTCTATCACTTGTGTTACATGTAACAGGAACTCAAACCAGGCTCAGTTGGCAGATCAGATGGACTACCCTACTCACGCATTTAAATGAAAAAAATTGTCACATTTGGCTGTAGTCCAAAGATCAAAAGAAAGAGTAGTACAGAATCACCCAAAGATATATTCCTGATTGATATTCCAGGTTTTTACTGTAGATGATAATAAGTTTGGTGAGTTTGCCAAGATGTCATCTTTGTCATATTCCTTTTTGCTGTTCTTTTCTTATATTTTCTCTGAGAACACAAGAATCAGATTTATGAAAAATGTATGCTGTTGTCAAGTACATACAAGCAATTTCTGTGAAGTGTTAACTAAGAAGGACTTATCTGCCAAAATTTAAGTATATGTTTGTTTTTAAGTACTTTTTATTTTTATTCTACTGTGGGAATCATGAAAATATGATAATATATTGTTTAAATTCCAAACTTCAAATATAATAAACTAACCTGAGACAAGACTAATGCTGAGAACTCAGTAATTCTCCTTATACCCATTGCATTTCAGGCACCTCTCAAGCTCCCAAATGCATTTCAGATTCTAGAGATGTTTCACAAAAAACCAAACAATAAAAACCAAAAACGAGACTTTTCTTTTTTTTCAAATATCAACCAGAATACATTGCTTATTAATTTAATAAGCTTTTCAAACCGACAGGAGTTGCACATAATGAAAACTTGAAATGCTGTATTAGCAGCTAACAGTGTAAATCTATAAAAAATGGACC